CCCGAGTGTCACAGAGCAGACAGCTGTGGCAAGGGGCGCCGGGGCTGGATCCCTCCTGTGAGTCAGTCCCCGCTCAGCCAGGTCCTCGCTGGTGGCTCTGTACACCATCATGCCCTCACTGTGAAGCAGGCCTGGTCCCTGCTAAGCACTGTCCCGAGTCACGGTAATGCCTGGTCTTCCTGCAAGAGCCTGCTTCTGAATTGAGAGGGTGAAACGTAGGCTGCCTGACAGCTTGCTGATGCATCTGGGGCAAAGGGAGGAAGCCTTGATCCAGATGTGGGGGTGCAGGTTCCTCTGGGTGTGGCCGCATCCCGGCACCTGGGCTGGACAAGTCACCGTGCCCCTGTCCTTCAGGCCTCTAATTTTTGAACTGACACTTCCTTCCTCACCTGTACAACAGGAATAGCAAACAGCAAATGCTTCTAAGCCTCCTTAGGGGATGCTTTGGGACCATAGCAGGAGATAAGACCATGGCCCTTCTGCCCCAACCCGTCACTCGGCTGGGCCATGCAGCAGGAATGAATGAACTGGTCTGGCCTCAGCTGAGACCACAGCAGAGCCATGTGCTCACCACACAGTAGAGGGTGAGCCGGGAGCAGGTTCAGCCACCACCACCCACCACACTGTGGCCCAGGGGTGCTGCTGGGCTGCTGCTCCTCGCTCCTTGCTCCTCGGGGCAGGCGCTGCCTGATTTAAACCTGTCGGGCCTCTCTTCCCTTTTCCTAACAACTATAAACACCTTCCTGGGGGTCCTGTCTGCTGGGATCAAACACCTGCATGATACTACAAGAAAAATGTCTGCTGGTGCCTGGGAGTCTCGCCACAAGACAGCTCAGTAGGAAGCTGGGTGTTTTGTTTTGAGCTTTGCCACCACAGGCCAGTGGAAGCCTCTCTTGTCTCTGTCTTCTAGCTCCCAGATTGACAAGGGGAATGTATGGGACGACTGAGGTGTGAGGCAGAGAGAAGGGTCCCAGTCCAAAGTGGGCTGAGGAGTACTTGCAAATGTCCTGAACCCCACACCCAGCTGGAGGGCAGAGTGGACGGCTCCAGGCTCCTACCTTCCCTCCTCTCTGCTTCCTTAGGCTGTTTCCCACCCCCAGGGCCTGGCTACCAACTGACACTGCTGGAAGGTGGCAGAGCTGGCAGCTGTGACCTCCAGCCACCAGGGCACTATGGCCGTCCTGTTAGCAGATCCTGAGTCCCAAGTCACCTTGTGCAATGATCCCCTCCCCTGTATTCCCACGGCACCAGCTACGGAAAAGCCACTCCACCTGGGTCCCCAGGGGTGTGGGAGCCACTGTCATTTCCCTGCAGGAGGTCAGGAGAAGAGCCCTAGGCGGCCTGTGGCCCTGCTCATGTGGAAATGGTCCACAAGGCGGCGCCTCCGCCCTTCATCTGGCCACGCAGGAGGCAGTGGGACAGAGACAGTGCTCTCAAGCCCAGCACTGCCTGCCTTAGATTGGGCACAGTGACAGTCACCGCCCAATGTGCACACACTGCTCCAGGGTACACCGGCCGACACCCCCCAGCCCATTGCTACACAGAGCTTGGGTTGGTTTTGTTGGCTATGTACGTGGAGAAAACACCAATTCCCATAGGACCCCAACGAGTTCGTGTCGAGGGCTTGTCTGCACAGAAAATGAGATTCTGAGCTTAAACAAATACAGTGCAATAAAGGTTATGCAAACCATTCTCACTGGCTAAAACAGGTCAGTTTTTTTAAAAGGCACTTTTGGGGTTTACAGTACATAAATCAGGGATCAACTGCAGGAAGCTTTGTTGTGACAGAGACTTAAAGAAAAGCAGAATTGGGGGC